AGTATATTTTCCATTGTGTATGTATTACCTGGGCGCTGTTATTTATTCATTGCACGCGCGTGTGTCCGTACGTGTAGGTGGTGATTCCATTGTCGGAGATCCATCGTTTCGTGTCCATGGGGAGACAGCGACGTCATGTTGATCGTCACTCCATATATCCCAGCGTCTATAGCTTCTCAACATGTTCATCTGCTGTTTGAACGTATTGTTTTTGAACAGGCCTTCCTTGAATCTGGCGTGCTTGATTTGTTTTTTCACCACATGTTTTTTCAAGCCTTTAGCCTTCTTGATTTTACTGTCGTCGGCATTCTTGATGGAATACATCTTGGGTCTCAAGCCGACGGCTTACCACGATCGGCAGTCCCCAGCACTCATCCTTTATCTTGCCGAGCACATTTTTGTTAACTTGGCTGTGCATGGGGTGATCTTTGGGGTAGTCGCTGGTGTCGCACAGGTGCATGTGTTTCTTCATGTCTTTGTGTACACGTCCTCGGTGTGGATTTCCATGAGCAGGAATCCAAGTCTGTGTACAGCACTTCGCACTTATTGTCGCCGCACTGTTTCTTCGGCTCGTTGTAGTAGAAATCGTACATCAGGTGTTTGGACAGGTCAAGGACGCCTCGGTTGAACATGATCTGCAATACGCAAGGACTGAACTCGGTGATGCTGGCACTGCAACCGATCAGAGAGAACCCTTGCCCGGTTTTGAATTTCCTGTTAGGGAACTTCGGGGTCTAGACTGAAGCCTTGAAAAACGTGCGCGGAGAACTCGTGAACAACATGGGTAAAACTGAACGAAATCGATGAGCACATCGCCGCGAGAAAACCAAACTCGAACAAGCGGAAGACGAGACCATCAGACGTCGCATCGAGAAAAGGTTGAGCGACCTGAAAACGAGAGATTTGACCTGATTGGAGCCGCTTCCTCCAACCGCCGAAGCCCTCTGATTGCAAATCAGCCGCGATAGCGCCGAAACCATCGATCGAGTCTTGAACGAGGACATGACGTTGGCTGACAGGCTCGAATTCTGTTCCTGAACAAGGGATCACCATCGCCAGCGCTTCGCAGCTTTGGGCTTCATCGTCGATCGACCTGGTCGATCGCTGATGGCGGCGGAGGCATACCACCACCACCCAAAGAAGGTGGCGACGCCAGAGACTGGATAAAAAGACAAAAACAGTTGAAATTGCTCAGCGAAGCCCTGGCGAAACTGTCGGCAAAGCCGCCGAAGCGCTGCCTGGTATCTTAGACAGCATCCTGTCCTGGTTGCTGGGCTTTGTAGAAAACTGTCACGTGGCTCGATCAAAACCTGTGGGCGTCAGTCGTTGCCGTGGAGGGTCTGGTCTACGTCGCTAAGGAATTTTTAAACAAATGAGACACAGTCCCGACCGCTGATCCCACCGACCACCAGAGCCGTTTTTGGCGGTCGACGTGTGGCTGATTGTTTGCCTGCACGTGCGGAGGCAGCTGCTGCTGTCGTGGTGGTGGTTCTACTTCCGGTGCCGGTGCCACGATTCCCGTTTCGACTTCGTTATTGACTTCCGGTTCAAACCCAACTCTTTGATCAGCAGTCGCGATGATGATTTCGTTGTTGTAACCCACCACTCCGGTTCATCCCTCGGTACAGTTCCACACCGAACACGAAGTCGACTTTCGACTGGGCGTATTCCAGCGCCTTTTCATAGAGTACCATGGCACTCGGCAGATTGACCACTCTGGGGATTGCATCCTCGAAGTTGACCACGAACTGTTTCTGCGCGTTGTAAGCCGTCCCTTCACAACCCACGATGCCAGAACGCATTTGGCGACCGCACGCCCAGCAGCGGACCACACGTAGGTTCGAATTGAATCGTTCAATCTGACGACACCGGGCACGAGTAAACCCTTCACGAAGCGTCCAGCATGAACATTTTCCAATTGTCTGTGGGTCCCTGCTCAAACCTCCAAATGCGTAATCCTTGCTGTCGCCGAAAAGCCATGTAGTCGTCGTTCCACTCGTTCGTCTTGAGGTAAGGATACGACTTGTAACCCCAATCTTTCACCAGCACTTTGCTGGCTGCCAAGACATGTTGTGAACGATGGGAATGCCCAAACCGTGGTTTGGACCCGCAAATGCCAATCGACCGCCTTCGATCTAGTTCGAATTCACCGCAAACGCGTTTCGTACGCACGTCGATCATCATAATGGATTGTTTACGACATTCCATGCCACGTCCTGAGGAATTGGGGCGCTGATTTCTTTCAGGATACGTCTGATCTGGTAGTACTGCGTGAAAATAGAACACGGACCAACTCAGTGGATCGCGCCGAGTGTCGCGTTCAAGGTCACGCCACCCGGTGGTCGCACACCACATGGCTTAAATTGAATTGATTCTGCCAAAACCGCATCGGGTTGTGGAACCAAGCGTGTACCATTTTCACGTTCATGACCAAAAATCCGTAATTTTGAAACACATCGATGAATCGAGTTCGAAGGTGGGAACCATCTTTTGCTTCCACCACGATCTTCGGTTGCGTGAGATCGGTAGCACTTATATCATCGCTTTTAGGATAAAATATTCCCGGTTTGTACATATTGAATTGTTTTTTATATAGTATACATGTTTACTTTTGCAATATGTACGCAACGCTTCCGGGAATCACAAGCGGTGAGTGCGTTCAACTGCAGCACTCCATCGATAACACGTCGGGTCACCTCGAAGTCGCGCTTTGCGACATCACCTACTATCCGCAACATCGGCGGAAACAACTACAGGCTGAGTCAAGGTTATTCAGGATGGACACACCATTACATTCGAGGCCATTTTTTTATCTGAACATTTCCATTTTATTAGCTTAAAGTATATTCACCAACGATTGACTGAGGACCAATTAAACAGTATTTTGTAAGAGAGTATATACACATACAGAAAATGTGACTGTACCCGGTCGTGGATGAAGTGGCTTAAAACACTGAAAACCGTGAAGACGGTTCCGCTTTGCAGCAGATATGCGACAACAAATGACAATTACGTGGACGGCGTCGACATCGCGCCCTGGTGGCAACAGGCATGGGATTAGGCGAGCGGAGTCGGGTTGCTATCCACAATAGTGGCCACTACCGTGGTGCTGGGCATCGAAATAACGGCAGGAGTGGTAGGGTTAGCGGGATTGGCGCTTAAGCACGTGATCTCGCAGACTGCAAACGAAAGCGCTGAAACACGCACGAAATTAGAGTTCTAGCAGAATCAATCGAAGCTCAACACGATAGAAGATCACATTTCCACCGCTCTCACCGACAGTAAAATATCTGAGGAAGAGTTTAGGTTGGTGCTCTCGGAACTCGCCAAATACCACAGAATGAAACAAGAGATTCGAACCAAGTCTCGTAAAATCTCCAAATTCAGCAAAGACGAGCAAAAAAGGTTAGTGGAACAAGGGAGGCAACAGGCCCGAGAAACCTTCCTCATGAAAACCAAACAAATTATTATCGGAGAAGATTCACGATAAACTGTTTCGCGGACATCAACATAATGAAGCCAGCCAGCCAGCTCCATCACCTTCACACCATGAGGACCACTGATAGTGTTGAGCGAGTGAGAGCTGTACACATAGCTTGCTCAAAAAGTCAGTATCTCCTTTCTGACATGCACATCAAACAGTGGTATTATGCAATAGCGGTACGGATTAGGTCCATCTTAAGGGCTCAGATTTTTAATTTGAGCTCTTAGGGGGGCACCTGGTCCCGTGCCCCCACTGTATATACTACTGCAGTTATTCGTGTCTTCAATTTGAGTTCGTTCTCAAGATGGGGTTGGACTATGTAACAAAGAAAGGTATGCATATAATCATGAGTATCCTTGGTAACGGACGTCACGATAGATGTCAGCTGTCATTACCTGATACAGTCTTGTACAGTACAACTAACTGTTTAGCACCCGTTTCTTGGTTTGCAGTTACTTCAATCGGCTAACAGCACTGCTGGAAACATCATGTATAAGGGTTTCGACGGAAAATGTGTCAGCTCGACTCACACGACAACTTTCGTTAACTAAACCGTTGTCCACAGTCCCACAATGCACCGTAGAATGTCGCATGACTACTCGGCTTCAGTTAGAGTGAATGAGTTAATACAACAGCGCGTCAGTAAGACTTGAACAAAGATTGTTAATTTAGATCACTAACATAAATGTTTTTTGTTTTGTTCCTTAGATCAATCGTCGGTAACTATAGAAGTCGGCATCTGAGAAGAGAAATACAGTCCTCATATTATGTAATAAAGTAATTTCCCCCTGAACTATTAAAATGTCAAAGCACTCGACCGCAAGCGTCATCGTATTTAAATTATAGTACTTATAAAAAAGATATATAGTGCTGAACTCCCCAAGCGCATACAACATAATGGACATAATTACCCAGGATAAGCCAAGGTGTTGGAAGGTTAATAGTCATATGACTTATCCAACCGGGTACCCATTTCCTGGTAGCGTTGAACAGAGACAATTTTGAACAAACTCACTTGCCTATGGTGAGACAACGTTTCACGTGTGCTTCGTCGTGGGCAGGACAGAACTCCAAGAAACTCTCAGGAGTCAAGCAGACAAACACGACCGCCCATCAAAGGACTCAATTTCAACTGATTCATGGCCTGGGCTCTACGCACCCACGACCACACCACCACTTAACTATAATAGATCAGGTCCAAACTGTACTTTATTAAACTATACATGGGGGTAGAGCAAACTGTACATCTTAAATAGATTGTTGCTCATTTCGGGATATGTCTATTTTGACAATGCTCTTCAGATGAACATTCACTGCGTTGAGAGTAATACAACTACCAGGGACACTGAAAAACTGGTAAAAACGTGCATGGTAGTTATGAGGTGAGGTGAAATGAGGTTTGACGTAGAGTTCGCTTAAACTGCAACTTGTATGTATGGCTACAACAGTGGCCCACTAAGATACCATGCCACAGTTAAACATGGACAACCCGCTCTGACACAATGTACTGCCTTCGTGCTGTTTTATGTTTCTATTTCCAATTTCAGATGCGTTTTCTGCTGTTGGTTGTTGTTGTGGCGCTGACTGTGACGGACGTGTCAGGCGGCAGGTGGTGGAGAAGACTTAAGAAAGAGTGACGCAAGATATGGAAGAAAGAAAAGGGAAATATAATAAACAACGGTATACCTTCCATGCTGAAGGTCCCTATGGATTAGTAATAACGCTAGTATTACCAGGAAGGGAGATTGTGGTACTGTGAGAGGGTTGTCAAGTGATGTTGCATCAAGGTTGATCACTCGGTGGTGCAGTGAGTGTATGGAGGAAAGAATGCTCGGGTTCGATTCTCCATGTGGGTACAATGTGTGAAGCCCATCTGTGGTGTCCCCCGCCGTGATATTGCAGGAATATTGCTAAAAGCGGCTTAAAAGTAAACTCACTCGCTCCCAGCACAGTCGTTAGCTGAAAATATTCTGAACCTTACTACGTTTGCTTGCTTGTATAACACCACACTCAGCAATATTCTTTAAGATGACATGTGTCAACCAAGTCAGTGAGCCTGACCATCCAATCCCGTTAGTCGCTTCTAACGACAAGCGATAGACCAATCATATGCCGGATCTTCGCGGGTTCCACGCGTCATGTGCCACGTGCAATACTTCCAATGGTTATAGGCTGCTTTATATGAAAAATCAGCGGAATTCATAATTGTTTTTAAGCCATCGCTCTAATCATTCCCTTGCACAAGAGCAATCTTTGTAAATCAATACTTTGTATCATCAACCACGCAAAACAAGTGACCTTATTTTGATTCATTCTCCAATCGCACATCAAATGATAACTTAATGTTTCCATATACACCAGGCATAAAGTTAATCCACGCTGGACGAAGTATTGATGACCTTGATCAGAACGGCGATGGTGTCCTGACTAGATCCGAACTACAGCGGCATATGAATGAACGGGAAGTTGATGCCTTGCTGGACATTCTAGATGAAAACGGTAGGTTTATTTTTGCGAAATATAGTATTCCCAGAAATTACTGAAAAGGTTCTCTTATATCTAATACATGTATCTAAACTATAGAGGTTTTACTTTAATCAATATGTTGAGATGTGATTCTCTTACAGTCTAAGTGTCTTTTCAGTACGAGAAAAAGCGTTTGCTCGTCACGCCGAAGACCCGGTGTAACAGGCCAGAGTATACCCCTGCCCCAGACTATACCCGGGGTTAAACTGGGCTAGCCCAGACTATACCCCAGGTATAATCTGGGCTAGCCTAGTTTATACCCCGGGTATATTCTAAACTAGGCCATAGTATACCCTCTAGCCCAGATTATACCCCCTACTGAAAACATTAGTGATTAAGGATACTACTATAATTTTATTGTACTTCTCACACAATTAAGCACTGGTTACAACATTGAAATGGTCCGATACACATTTTCCAGATACAAACCATAATCAGTGTGAGTTTTCAAGCTGAAGCTGGCAGGGTACATCAGCCATTGCATTGACTGACCAACTGCACTGTAAATATAAATGTCACATTTTAACAGACTGGCTGTTGACATAACTTCCATTTTTTGTCCACCTCATTTCTTAATGAGTGTACTACCCCGCCGCCGAAATACCTTAGTTGTGCGTGCGACACTAAATAAAGCAGATAACTAACTACTAATCTTGATGATACATGTTAGGGTTACGCAAAGTCGAAAATATCACATCGCAGAGAGGCACTAAACAAATGCTTCATAAAGTTTTGTATTATGCAGTTATGTAAATGAAATGCACCTACAAATTCCTTTAAATTACACCAAGACCATTGCCCTGAGTCACACACTCATATTGAGTGAATTGTCAACATAATTTTTTAGGGGTATGGTCTGGGCTGGAGGGGTATACTTTGGCCTGGTCCAGAATATACCCCCGGGGTATAAACTGGGCTAGCCTATAGTTTACCCCGGGGTATAATCTGGTGGGGGGTTATTCTGGGCTGCTACACCGGGCTCGATTCCCCACATGTATAGAATTTGCGAAGCCCATTTCTGGTATTCCCAGCCGTAATATTGCTAAAAGCGGCGTACAATTGAACTCACTCACTCACTCTTTTGAGTACTTTGTGAAACCTCCTTGGCCTAGGTACACTACCGATCAAAGTTTGTAGGAAATCGTGTGACAGAGTATCCCAATATTCGACCACTTTTTTCTCGATATTTCAAAGACCCTTTGGGTTTATTCTGTCCTTCATTAGCCCCCACACATTCCCAATAGGGTTACGATCTGGGCTGTAGCTGGGCCAGTCTAAAACTTGAACATTTTAGTCCGACAACCACTGTTTTGTGTAGCCTGCAGTGTGTTATGGGCTGTTATCATGCTGGAAAATCCAAGTATCTTCCTACAGTATTCGGGCCGTTGGAAGGAGGTGATCATTTAAGATGTCAACATATCGTTCCTTCATCAAATTTCCAGTGAAAATACACAACGGCGTCATTCCACGTGATGATATCTCACCCCACATGTGAAATTTCGGGCTATGATTTGGGCGTTGGTATATAGGTTTCACGGTATCTTTTGTCCAAATTTTCACACAGTTCGGAAAAATAAAACAGACTGAACTTTCATCTGAGAAGAAAACATTATCCCAATATTGATTTTCGGGAGCCCTACACCAGTTTAAATGTCTTTCTTTTTGTGCAGCTTTTATCAATGGTGAGGGAATTGCGCGCTTTTTCACTCAGTTCTGTTTGTAATTCGTTTCATTACATACCTGAAGACTTCCTCTATTAATCATCTCATTTCTTGTATTCCCAACACTTTTCAATTCCCCTACTCACAATCTGACCAAGTCGTCGGCGATACGTAGTACTGAACATCCTTGGCCTCCCTGTCCCTGTCGTTGTGACTGAATATTCTTCAAAGTTCTGTATACCGTAGACACAGGACTGTCATGTCTACCAGCTAACCCTTTTGCATTTATCACACTCCTTTCAAAATCATTTAAACCAGCTTTTTCTCTTCTGCTGTCAAATCTGCCATACCAACAAAGAAAGCCGCCGGCTACACTAGGGGAGATAAATCTTGTGTAGTAAGGTTCATTCTTAAGCCTACAAGAGTTGCCTCCCATGTTGAGTTCCTTACTGCATAATGTAACACTTATTTTTAAATTCTATTATCAGTATCAGGAAACAAAGATTTTCCCACTACTTTCTGGGAAAACTGTAACTATAGTGTACCTATTTTTTAAGCTCCTGGAAGCTCCTCTCTCTTGACATGTTAGGGCATTGTTAAACCATCACATGTATTACAGTTTTCCCAGAATTATTGAGAAAATCTTTGTTTCCTAATACTGATAATAGCATTTTAAAATAGGTGTTGCATTATATAGTTAGGTACTATCACGGCGGCTGACATCACAAATGGGCTTCACACATTGTATCCACGAGGGGAATCGAACCCATCTCGTTGGCGCGACAAGCGAACGCTTTAACTGCTAGGCTACTCGACCGCCCCTAAACGGAAAAATCGCTGTGAAAATCATATGCATAGATCACTGAAAATTAGCGATGACACCAGGTGTTCGCAAAAGGATTAATGGGTTCTTGGGCCCATCAGCTGCCAGCTTTCTAAAACAATTCGGCAACACTTTTACATTAAGTCTATTGTGTTTGTGCATGAACAAATGAAAACCAAGACAGAACCAAGATGAGTTCGAAACAAATTACTGGGTGTGTAAAAAAACCACGCCATTATCTCGTCTTTATTCTTTGCTTTCGGAACTGATCCGTTTAGTTCGTTTTCTGGATACAGAAATTAGATATGATGGTTTGAGTGCTGTGACACCTACTAAGTCCTTATGAATATCAAACAGATCAGCTGATCACAAAGCTCACCTACCTCCACGATGACATGTGTCTGACCACGCGAGCCTGACCACCCGATCCCATCTTACGACAAGCATGAGTTGCTGAAGATCAATTCTAATCCGGATCTTCAAGGTCGTAGTGTGAAACAATTTATGGTGTCCCCCGTCGTGATATAGTGGCGTAAAACCATACTCACTCATCCCATTATGCAATAAACGCTTTCAAAACTATTGTGTTGTTTATGCCGTTGAGAGTTTAAGGCTTCAGTATATCCGTGTACTTGTATCATCAATGTCACAAGTTCTGCTTGTATATATATTTACTGTGTGTAACAATTGCCCAGGTGAGGAACACGTGACGCGTGACGTTCTGGAAAGGTACGCACAAGAAGCACTCATCAATACAAGCCAATGATATCAACGAAGGTATATGGTTATGCGTATATTCTCCATGACGTAACAGTGTTTACAGAATTTACTGAATTGCTGAAAACATTAAGTTTTTGGTTTTGCAAAATCTTTATTTATACTATTTTTTATTTCACAAGTTTTAACCTTAACAGATATCAATATATATGTTCAATGTTGACATAGTTTTGCTGCTGGTAACATGCATATTTGCTCAATTTGTGTTTTCTCTTGTAGGTACCGAAGTGACTGGACATAGATCAAATGTAATCAGCTGGTTGATTTTGAATAAAGTGACGTCACTTTCATTGATATCGATGCAGCTTATCATTTGTGTAAATAATTGTGTATGTAAACAAGTAATTGATTCGGTGGGTTTGGGACTACATACAACAGTTACTTTATTATGGAAATTGTGTGGATGATGGGCGCCCTTAGGGTAGTAAGTTACCCCTATGCCATACTGGCTGAATGACTGACTGAGTATGGTTTTACTCCGTTTTGAGCAATATTTCAGCAATATCACGACGGGGGACACCAGAAATGGGCTTCACAAATTGTACCCTGTGGAGAATCGAACCCGGGTCTTCGGCGTGAGGAGCGAACGCTTTAACCACTAGGCTACCCCACCGCCCCCCTATCACATACAGTGTAATGACTAATTATTAGTGATCTGTTGAATTTGGACCACTTTTTATGTCCAGTGTGATGAACGCTTGACGCTTAACACAATTTACAAAAATATGTGTTGAAAGCTTTTCTTTGAATAGTGCAGAGAAAGGGACAGCCAGGTGTTAGAGAAACACGTTCACAAGTGCCCACCAAGTTATTAATTCATTAGCCTGTGCTGTGCCGTCTCCATCCTTTCTCGCACACCTGGCTGTCCCTTTCTCTGCACTCCTCCCTCGTAACAAATAGTGAAATGTGTAAAAATTTTAATGATAGTTTCTTAGAGAACTTTTTTGGTTTTGTCCGGAAAATTTTCAAATATAAGAAAGCCGTTGGGTATTAGTAAATGATAAACATGTATACTATATATATTTATGTGGCAACTTTGTACAATGATAAAATTTGCAATTCATCGGTCCGTTTCTGACTCAGACGGACTTTTTGTAGTACATTGTGTTAGAGTGAGCTGCCCATGTTAAACTGTGGCATGGTCTGACAGTGGTCTGTAAATAATCGAACCTGGACCAGACGATTCAGTGATTGAAATCATGAGCATTGATGTACCAAGCTGTGATACGATGACATTGATGGATCAAGTTAGCGAACAAATATAGTTGGCTAAAGACCAACCCGATATCTTTAAAGGTCAGAATAAATTCTGGCATGTCAGTATTACTGTGTTTGTGAGGCATTCTTTACGAATAGACATTACATAATCTATTTATTAGTCGAAATTATATCAAAACTTATATATGATTGGTAGTTAGTGATGCAAGTTTTACACTCATGTTTGATATCAAGAACAACATAATTAAATATTCAAAATGACAAAACCTTCCACATATTGTATGAATCTTCCGAAACCAAAACTTAATGATCTTGAAGAAAGTTTTGCAACTGCACTGTTAAATTGAGGCATCAGGGATTCGACGTTTAATTAGTGGTAGCGAAATATCTCATACCTTGATGGTATTGTGTACTGAGCTATTCTATTCATTTTTATTTTAGGAAATCTTGAACCTTTAACGTTCTATTTGCTCTAACACATCAAATGACTTTGAACAAGAACAAGATGAGTAATACAAGTGAAACGATTAACCAAACCGATACATGATATAGTTTACATTTCAAAACCGTAGGTAATTACTATTTACTATTTCACTTCTTAAAAGTAAATCAGGTTACATTCACCTGATGAAGGTATAAGCATATACACCGACAAGTCGTGTTCCTCATAATAGCGACAAAGTCCCAGACCTTGGTAGTGGACACAATCAAGCAGTTTGGGATGCTTTAGGGTAGTTTGGTCACCCTGTACAACCCCAATATGTAAAATCAAGACAATATGTAAAAACTAACGCATTATATAAAAACTTAACGCAAACGTAAACTATAACGCAATATGTAAAATATTAACGCCAAATGTAAAAAATGTCTTTAACGCAATATGTAAACACCTAACGCAAAATGTAAAAGCAATTTTTAACGGAATCTGTAAAATACAGCTTTATTGTTGTTTATTGTTTTGGCGACTGAAATTTATTTTTTAAGAAACTTTACTTTATTGTGTTTCAAAATACCTAAGCTATTGCAATATTTCTGACAAAATTAACCTCATTTCTGACTTAATTGAAATCTGATCTTTTGGGTCGTTTAACACCAAAGTAAAGCCGACAATTGTGTAATATACATGTATAGCGATACTTGATATCATAATCTATATTCGACAATATCCAAGGAAATCATTTTATTCTCCATAGTATTTTTACATAAATGGTCATATGGGTTGTATTCATTATGTCCTATTCAAGGAGGTTTTAACTTTTGGATTTTTTTTATCCCACAACGTGCATTGTTGGGGACATAAAAATTACCCTCCGCATTGGGTGAGAGAGAGAGAGAGAGAGAGAGAGAGAGAGAGAGAGAGAGAGAGAGAGAGAGAGAGAGAGAGAGAGAGAGAGAGAGAGAGAGAGAGAGAGAGAGAGAGAGAGAGAGAGAGAGAGAGAGAGAGAGAGAGAGAAAGAGAGAGAATAGCTTCTTTCATATTCTCAGTTGGTTTACTTGAAGCTATGGCGGTTTCAAGATGAACGCAACTAGGAACTATTCCAGTATTCCCTTAAACCGCCCATCGTTGTTTCATGTACACAGTCAAATCATAACTATTGGCGCTCTCTCCTAGATCAGTTCCTTGGCCAATGGTCAGAGCTACCATCTCGATGCCAAGTACCAATTGCAATTAATTCGAACCCCCATACACAATAAATTAAAATTGGAAACATTGCTACAACATGCATGTTATTTCAAACCAAATTAAAAAGGATCAATAAGTGGTTTTCTTTAAAAACCCAATTCGGTAATCACAGATTATCAACAACGGAATGTACAGTTTGAAGGAAAGGTCAAACCTTTTTGAATAAGACATAATGAATATAACCCAAAATACCATTTATGAAAACAAGTTTGAAGAATAAAATTATTCCTTAAAACTTTCGAAAATAGACTATAAGATCGATTAAAATATCTCTATATACAAGGAAGTTATATGTTTATCGACTCTGCTTTAAATGTATACTGAACGAGGTAAAATTTTGTAAAAAAATGTAATATGAAGTTTATTTTGTAAGAAACATTGCGATATCTTAGTTTTTGTAATAAAGTCAATTTTTTGCCAAATTTGTAGACAAAATGGATTTCGATCGCCACCCGTAATATTCAAACCTAAAAGTGGATTTTACATATTGCGTTAATTTTTGACATATTACGTTAAAAACTGTTTTACATTTTGCGTTAGGTGTTGTACTTTTTGCGTTAAAGACATCTTTTACATATTGCGTTAATATTTACATATTGCGTTATTTTTTACGTTTTGCGTTAAGTTGTTACATATTGCGTTAGTTTTTACATAATGTCTTGATTTTACATATTCGGGTTGTACAAGGCCATTTAGTGTTTGTTCAAGAGAGGGGTGATTTGACCGAAAGGTATGGCAACCAGAAGGGTTGCATAATTAAATTTGTATGAATTTTAAATCTGGAGATTTGCCGGAAATGGTAGGGTAGCTGAACTACGGGGTGGTTATTTGGTATTAATTTTGTTTGTATTTATGTTTTGTTTTTTGTTTAGTTCAGATTATGTGGTTTTAAAAGTTTTTATTGTTACAAGTTGGTTATGTGGGATTATGTGCGACCTAGAAGGCCAGGTTTGATTAGAAATACATAACTAAGGCTTTGAGGATTTGGGTGTTGTTTGTGGTGTTTTTAGTGGGTTTTTGTGTAGATGTTTTAGTTTAGAATTTCAATGTTGGTATTTACCTTGCCACTCTTGGAAGGTTTTGTGTTTGCATAGGTTTTTTATTTCGCTTTTACGTAGTGGTATGTTTAAGTTAACTTCTGGGAGTTAAGTGGGTGTAAAGACATGGTCAGGGATCCATATGAACTGTAGCCTTTTGCCTTAGGCCTGGAAGATCCTGATCGCATTTTCGTACTTTGTGCCTAACATTTCTTTTTCAAACTATTTATTCAAAATTGAAACAATGAAAAGGTTATGGTTGAATGGTGATACGAAATGGAGTGTGTCCTGGGCTAAATCTTAATGAGCCTAAATTGGATCTGCATAATGTTATTCTAATATTGGTAATGACATGTTTCCTTTAGAAAAAAATCAAGGTCATGTATTAAAGTGTAGACATAGCTTTTGTTTTACTGAAATGTGTGTCAACGGAGTGAGTCTAGAATTTATCTAGAATCATTTGTTAAACTATGTAGTCGTCACTTCTGCCATTTTGAATGATGTGCTTGTGGGGTGACTTTTTAGGATTTTAGACTCGTGTCTTTCTCTAAGCTATTACTGATCATGGTGAAACTAATAATCTATATTATATTTTCCTAATATCTGAATCCTAATATATCGCTTCTTGAGGTTAATAAATGATCATGATTTTTGGTATAAATTATTCCTCCAGGATAGTTTTAAAGTTTAAAAAGACCGTTTACTCAGAGGCGAAAGTTACTGGGAAATGGAAATCAGTGTTTTCATTGGTAATCTTGGGAAAGAAGTTTTGGATTTCAGCCACGGAATGAGTGTATTTATCAAAATGTTCAAAGAAACGCAACCAAACGCTTGTTGTTCGAATTGCAATTTCGCAAGAAGCAAGACATACTGGAAAGAAATGGCCAGCAATGTTCACTTTAAAAGGCGAGCCAGACAAACGCTGATCATTTCCACTCAATGCAGTCTTAAGATGTGGGTTGGTTGGTTGGTTGGTTGGTTTGTTGTTTAATGCCGCACTCAGCAATATTCTAGTTATATGGCAGCGCTCTGTAAATAATCATGAGCATCGTTTACGCAATTGGGAACCGATGACATGTGTCAACCAAGTCAGCGAGCTTGACCACCCGATCCCGTTAGTCGCCTATTATGACAAGCATGGGTTGCTGAAGATCCATTCTAACCCGGAACTTCACGGGTTTTAAGATCTGGAGAACGCCTCTATTCATCTTTCTGGAACAAGTTGGACATGCCTTGCCTCATGATGGTGAACTACTATCAGTATGCTTCAGTCTGCTCGATTCAGCGTCCACAGTAACACTGTTTGGCACGTTTAAAGAAACAAATATCCCTTAGTGGCCGCCCACAAGTAACGATCCCAAATCAAGACGGATGGATTCCAACACAATTTCTAGATGAACTTCATGTTTCAATTTGGAAATCGACATGTAATAATATAAATTAGGATGTTGCCTTTATGACCCATCAACTTCGTTTCAAAATATTCAAACCTGTTTCATTTTCTCACGTTGAATATATACTTTGTGGTCTTGACAGAATACTTTCTGCGTTTACTTTAGACATTGACGCCAACAACTTGAAAAGGATTCGATTTGTTGGACTGCTATCAAACTTGAAAACTGGTTTTGGATATTCTCACCAATATACTTAGATTGTTTGTAAAAATATTTTGTAACTATATTTGGTATTGAAAACAGACGCGATGAAATGTCTTCGTTGAATTTTATTGTCCATTTTATTGTCAAAAGCCAAACGATCTCACAATCGATATTACCTGAAAAGTAATAGCATTTGTTGATAATTATTGAGCACGCAATCATGTAGTTATAGCAGCTTTACCATTAATTTGGCATGTCGTTAAACGTACCAACCGAGCAATAGTGACATCTGGATGATTACTCTGAGAACAATATTATGCGGTTTGATGGGGTTTCCCTGGCCCGGTACATCAGTATGATCTACATACATCTTATTCCGACGGAGCAGGTGAATCGTGTGTATCGAGGTGTAGATGCATAGCTGCGTCTTCAGCGTCTCCTACGTCTCGGCGTTGCCAATGACATTTGCCATGCAGTATCTTGCACGCTGTAAAACAAACACAAGGAATAACATCTTAGACATAGCTTCATAGTGACACCTGGATTAAATATCAGTAAATCAGCAGTACTAATGAAGAAATCGTGACAAACTGTGTATCGATATTTGCAATTATAGTGTAAGGAAATGTGTGGACATGCATGGATGACAATGCAAACATAATGGTATAAAGCTTCATTGATGGTGTATTGGCTCATGGTTAAAGCTAAAAACTACACCATAGCAAAAAGCTGTTTGTTATTGACATGAACAATAACTGGTTAGATTTGTGTGTTGTTTGTCGCCGCACTCAGCAATATTCCACTGATATTAGCAAAGCTCCACTTATATGGCGGCGGTCTTAAAATAATCGAGTCTGAACCAGACAGTCCAGTGATCATCATGTGCATCAATCTACACAAATGGGATACGATATGCGTCAACCAAGTCAGCGAGCCTGACCACCCGATCCAGTAAGTCGCATTTTATCAAAGGGCATTGCATTTCTAGATGGGCCTTGTTATATATCGCATTTAGAATAAATAGAAATAACAGGAAAAATTCCAAATATTTTCCCCAAGCTTGGGATAAATATTGAATAACGTCACCTTCAGAATTAAAACACATACATATATCTGTCGCCGCCATTGCAGGATCATGGTTCACATACCGTTTGAAGAATTTGCTTGGCTCCACTATCGAACACGTCAACCAGAAGATTACATGTCAACATCTAAATACTTGTATATGCACAAACATATGCAAACGTACGTCTTGTTCGACTAAATAGCCTCCGAAACCATGAACGACGTCTCCTTGCGTCACCGGAGTGTAGCAGCAACACTGCGGCGACTAACACCATCAGCAACACCGTGGCCTTCATCTGAAACATATGAAACAGTTTCACAGTATGTGTGTTGGCGTTTTTCAAATACATAAACCAAATAATCTAAGCGTATATTGTATACAACTAATTTGTGACTACACTGTTTCACCTGTCCCGATATACATCATATACAATAAATAAAGATTGACAAATATTCACTGTCTGAGATAAATACATTTATTAATACCACACATTCGATATTTACTCACATACAAAGGAATGTATATTGTACTTGGGGAATTAGGAGTTAAAGGCACTGTCTTTAACAATTAGATTAATGTTAGACTGAATTTATCGTCTCTAAATTTCATTTGAAACCGAACACATCTGTTGTGTTAATATGTGTAACAGTGTGGCGGTGTTGTAAGCGGAAGCGGTCATAAAATCAGACGCATTTTCTCTCAATCCAAAATGAATGTGTCTAATTGTATTGATTGTCCAGTCAAATTCGGGTATTTTACGTAGTCATGGTAGAGTGAATGATATCATTGTTTGCTGTAAGTGCTATCTAAAATCATAAAAAAATCTATGATAATATATCATTAAATGAATCCCTGATGTCACCATAGCAAATGTTAAAATTTGTTTAGATGTTAATGTATACTCATGCCAATAATGGTTGTCACCCCCCCCAAACCTCACACCCCCATCCCACACCCCCTTTCCAATTAAAAAAATTGAAGGGGGTGACAACCATTATTGACATGTGTATATTACAAATGCATCTTTTATATAAATATATTTCCAAAATATAAATTTTTCCTGAGCGACATTTTAGAATGTGGGAAGTGAAATAATGACCATTGGATAACATGTTCTTTTATCTCTTGAGTGCGACGATACAAATTATTGTGCCGTTTTATTATCTGTGTCGAAACGCTGCACTCACGAAAAAAACGACCTTATTATCCACAAACTCGTTCAATATACAGTTTATGAGCATAATTAGCTTCTACCGGGACCAAATTCTAGTGCCGATATTGAGAGCATGCCGGATTGGAGGGCTGCCGGTTTAGAGGGCTTCCACTGTACCAACATATAACATTTTTAGTTAAGTTTTTATATTATTGTTCATTGAGTGATGTCCAAAAAAGGTTGTTATTTGATTAAACGGGTTCCTGTTAACATAAATCGAAGGCTATATCAACAGTTCATTTGCGACAACAATAAACGAAAGAATGACGTAAAATATGGAAAAATAATATCGCATATCATATAATTTTCATAACGTCATACCTTGTTAATGAACAATGACAGTAGCTAGTTTGTAACTAGGATGTATCACAATCAACGCCCAATCAGACCCATAGGTCGGACGTGTTTATTGCAATTAAGGAGTGCAGCAGTCGGGATAATGATTGCAAAGCAGATAACACACTAACATTTGACATGAAAACTTTTACATCATCAGTTCAGATGGTAATTATTCACGGTCCTGTACGTGATTGGTTTAAGCTAACCTGGCACGAAATGCCCAGTGTTCAGATTGGAGATTTGAGAGCTTTTTGGGTCCAATCACGGCATGTCAACTTCATATTGAATGAGAGCCTAAAGAGATACAATAGTATCAGGAGATGTGTAATAGATTTACAGCGATTCTTGTATATTTGATTTCACATTTTCACTAACTGGAACATCATGAAATACGAACTATATACAGCCAAAATATGACATTTTTGTCTGCAGAACTCACATGTCTATAAGTCAAAGACGTCACAAGAATATATCAATGACAATATTCTAGACAGCAGAGCAAATATTTGTTCCTGTTGGAGGGGCAATTACACATGTTGTTCACATGATGCATGAAGTGCGAATATACCATGGTTAGGGAGAGAGAAGGGAGAAAGAAAAATAATTTATTAGTGTATTCCAGGCTACAGAATGAAAGTACATAAAATGTGATTATAATTGGAAAAGAGACGGCCAACATCGGTCTAAGAGACACCAACATCATTACATAAATACTACATCGATATTTTTCTATAAGCCATAAGACTTACACTCGAGTAAAATATTAGGCTAATACTACGCACCATGTATATATATATACTGTAAACCATTAAAAACGCAATTGGTATTTGTTGTCCTGAAACTTACAAAAGTTCTATTGAAGATTTTTTCCTGCGATACAGAGGATGTAGGAATAAAAGGCTGTTATTCTGGCCCATTTCAAGTTCGAGTCCCGGAGCATTCCTCTCACATGAACTTTGATACTTAAAACTGAACCTTTGACATTTCTCGTAAACACAACCACATTCATGAAACACGTTGTGCACATGCATTACCTGCACCCAGGCCCTGTAAAAGCACAAGGAATTGTGGAACTCAATCACTTTGAGAAAATGACACACTTGACACAAGACGAAAGAAATCAGGTTATCGGTATGGTCAGCCAAGGTGCTTCAGATGTGATGATTGCCAGGCATCACATCTGATTAATGTGCATCCATCCACTGTAAGTCGACTCAGACAACGTTTTCGGGCTACCGGAAGTGTTGCTGATCGTCCGCGACCTGGTGCACCACCTGTGATAACAGCTCGACAAAACCGCAATATCCGAGTTTCACACCAACGAAATCGGTTCCAAACAGCTGATGATTAGGCAAGGAGGACAATTGGGACAAGTCAACGTCATTTTAGCGCCCAAAAGGTGCAAGGACGCCTTGCTGCCTTTAACATCCGGTGTCGTCACCCGTACCGTGGTCCAACCTTATTGCATCGCCACAGACTTGCCAGACAGCGATGGGCAGCAAATGGGGCCAATCTTGGCAAAAGGACATGGCCAGATGTCATTTTGTCCAGGTTTAACTTAACCTTTGCAGATGGACGTCCACAGATTTATCGACGTAAAGGAGAAAGACTTGCGCCAAACTGTGTCCTTGAACATGATCGTTTTGTAGGGGGTGATGTCATGATCAGACCACAGACCATCAGAGGCTGCAGACCATCCAACAGCTGTTCCTCAGAAATGTGTGTCTTTCAATGCCCCAAAGACTGCGAGCATGTAAGCAGCGCACGGTGGACACACACGATATTGACTGCAAGTGACCCCTCCTTTGTTTGATGTCGTTGTTGCGTCACTGATGTTGTTGTTGACTGGACATTTTCAGATGAAATTATTCACAGATGTTTACTTAAAACATATCTGCCAGTTAGGTTTATATATGTTGAAATTAGTGTAAGTAAAGAAAGTATGAATGTCAAATTGCGTTTTTAATGGCTTACAGTATATATACAGTACAACCAGAAATTATTGAGAATTTAAAGATTGTAATTTTTTAATTGTTTTTCACTCATTACTCACGTATTAAATGTGAGTATTAGCAGAACATAACTCCAGATTCAAAGACAGGTGAACAGTTAGTATTTGGTCAAGTCACTATGGGCAGCAATGCAGGCTTCAATGCGGCGGGGCATACTACTGATCAAAGAAGTCAGAAAGTCGTGGTCCATGCTGTCCCAATATTGGACCACCTCTTCTTTCATTTCAGCAATATGTGTCAGATTTTTCTTATTGACACTTTCCTTCAAAGTCCCCAAACATTTTCTATTGGATTTAGGTCAGGGCTATAGCTTGGCCAATCTAATAATGTCATATTTTGGGTCCGAAACCAGGCCTGTGAATGCTTTGAACGATGTTTTGGGTCGTTGTCCTGCTGGGAAATCCAAAAATTTCCATAGAACACGTGAGCAGATGGAAGTAAATGTCCCTCGAGAATATCTGTGTACCATTCACTGTTCATATTCCCTTCAAATACACAGTGGGGCGTTGCCCCTAACACAGACATGCCACCCAACACGTTAAATTTCGGAAAGTACTTTGGGCGCTGATGCAAAGGTTTGTTTGGTCCAGAATTTCAGTGTATTAGGAAACAGCCACACAGAACTTTCATCTGAGAAAATCACATTGTCCCAGTTAAAATTTCTATGCTGTAAGCACCAGTTCAACCTTCGCTCCTTTTGTTCAGGTTTCATGATCGGTGATACAATTCCTCGACTTTTCTGCCAACCCATTGCATGCAGCTCAGTTCTAATTGTCTCCTTGCAGACAGCCACAGTTCCTCTATCAATCATATCCACTTTAGCTGATCTGATGTCCTTGTTATAATACTCTAAAATCAACTTCCTCTTCTCTAAATCATCCATACTGAGGATCACTGAAAATGTCGTCTGCTAGCTAACTCTTCACAAACTAATGAAAAAGGATTAACGGAGTTGTCTCTCTTGAATGAAACCAAGCACTTGATAGTTGGTCAAGGTTGTTTATACTCGAAATCCAATTAAACATATTTCCTAAAATTATCAATATTTTTTTGTCATACTATATATATATACCCCTACTCCAACCTCCCCACAGACCGCTACATGTATGCACACAGAAAAAGATTTAGACGAACATCCACGCGTCCGTATGTTCACAACCATATGCAACAATCATGAAATCCAACCATGAACTAAACCCATATTATACTGTCACATGTCACAACCATATACAAAGTCATGGAACACATACGTGTATTAAAACAATAGACCCCAACAAATGTCTCAACCATATGTCACAGTCATGCAACTAAAACATGCACTATAGCCACATATCAAATCCATGAAACAAACATATAGCACAGCCATATACAATACACTAAAAGTATGTATGACAACAACACGTACCAACAATGCAACACAAACATTGTTATGTGGCAGTGTTGTTTATTGTATAACACTGTCACTGTATGACATTGTTTCTGTTGACATTCATTTGGGGGCAGTGGTTTGAAAAAGTTATGCTCGTCCTACACCGTATTGGCCTTTCCAACATAGTCTATAGTTACACTATACATAGGGAGTGCGTTTATGTCCATTGAAACTCACATTACATGACTGTCAAATATAGGTCAATCACTTCCACCTTGAATTCTCAGCCTAGGCCTATGTTGGGTGAAGTGAGGAGAATATCATAATCATTTTTTTCAGTTATAATTAATGCCTATATTACATTGCTATTGTATTTATACTGCCACTCTGCACTGCCATTGTAAGTCATTTGTAGTAATTTGTAACGTTGCTAAATACAATTCGTAATTATATCCAATTTCTGCATTGTTCGTTGCTTTTTCACCGAGTCTTTAATTGACTGATTTCTGGTTAAATTATAGTTTCGTTTTGGGAACTAAGACGTAACAACATGTACTAAAACTTGTGTCACAACCATTCAGTATGATCTGACCTTATCCATGCTACAAACAGTTCATGTATTAAATTAATATATAAATGACAGTATGGCGCGTTTTGTTGTATTAAGTATAAAAACAATCAAAATCGATGATCATATAATGACAATACACATACATATTTACGCTACAGTAACTCCATATAATATGATGATGGCGAACCTCAAAGACGTCATTAAAAACCTACCCGCCCAGGAGAGGAGTAAGCTGTATACATTTGAAGCACCTGTGGCAATACACTCAGTCGACGCATCATGAATCAGGCTCAAGGTGACAACTTCAATAACGGAAAATGACACTTTGATGCCATTTGATCACACGCGATCTGTTATTTCAGTGATATGTTGCAAAGTGGGACCTTGTGATGTATGCAGCTCCATTTAAGTAGCAAGATGTTACTTTAGATTTACCAACTGATTGCCCTTCCACCGATTTGCCAGTCTGGAATGGAAATGGATCAGATTAGTGACACTCACCAATCTGTCTCATATTTTGACGTTTGTGTTATGTACCAGAGTGACAAAGCACTCGAAGACTGTATGACTTGGCAATGGTGAGCTCTCTCATTATGTTGAGCAATATTCCTGCAGCTCCAGTCTTTGGTGTTTACATTTTGCCTATGTGTGGTACAATCGAACATAATGTTTCCACGATTGAACATACTCTTTCCTTATACCATACGTTTGCGTATGCATATCCGTGTGACGTTGTCATCGCTGGGGCAGGATGTGTTCTCCCTTTCGCGAATACTTGGTATCTTCACTATTTGATTTAAATTTACATCTTCTCTTTTGGTGGAGTATTTTGTGAATATTGAAAAGGTTTGGTCGCATTTAGTTAGATATCATAAAAGGGTATTGTCATTGAAATAATGACCCCTTTCAAGCGCTGAATGAATGAGTGAATGCATGTCTTTATTTCCTCCAGAATCTACATCCGAAGATATACAATATGCCTGATGTTACTCAGAACAAATACATGATGTTAATATGTACATGAATATAAATATGAGTCCTAGTGACTCAAGCTGTATAAGTAAATGATCGATATCACATATGTACACAAATGACAGCTATTGGTGCAAAGCAGATGAACAGAGAGGATGGTCTAATACATTTTTCAGATGAAGTACTTATTTACAGAATAATAATGATACACTTTCCCAAGTGGTCTGGCTAACAATTCCAGGTACTGTTTGAGCCGAACCCCATGGGCCTTTTCATAATATTCTGATTAAGGGAGTTGGACATCTCAGTTACAACAAAACCCAGCATTGTCTGGAGATCACTCTGTTGATACTAATTCTGCCTTGAATTTATACTAATATATTCTAACTTAATTAATTTAGTAATAATACTAATTATATTTATTTTGTAAACTTAGTTAATTTTAAACAATAACTGTTAAGTATATCCGATTTCGTTGTTGTTCGTTCCTTTGATTACAGCCTAATTCGTCGAACTTTCAACAGTCAGACAGACTAATAAGTCGACTTTTGAGTGGTTCTATGCTGATCGGTCGATTGTCGGCGTGCAACAGACTCACTGTTCTTTTACGGACTGAATTCCGGTAAACTTCTGCATAAGTTTCAACTTTGGAGTCATCAGCAACAAATGGCACATACACTGAAACCGTTTCAGTATGAACTGCGTTATTCCTTAAACTCGTTGTCTGGTTTGTTTGATACGTCAATACGTACATGAGGCTTTTATTGTTTTACATAGATTAATCAAACCGGTTATTTGCTATTTCGGGTGACATATTTAATTTGGATTCAAAAGGTTCTACTGTACTTATATATTGCCTTATAAAATAATGACACACTCGAATGATGTCGTTAAAGGATCTAAGCTTTTGTGAATATAATAACGGCTAGTGAAACTGTACTTATAAGAAAATATTATGTGGTCTGGGTTGTTTGTATTTGTCTGTTTATGTGATATTTGGTTAGCTTGTCTGACGAGAGAAATATTGTTTGGGATGGCGGTATGCAAAACTCATCATAGGCAAATACGAACATGCTGACTGCCGCAATATTCCAGTTGTATCGCGACGGATTTGTAAATACCCGAGGACTAGACAGAGATCGTTGTTATGTTTGTATCATGAACAAACCACGCATTCGAATACATTGATACGATACCATTGAACATGCTTGACCACCCAATACAATAAGTCGCTAATTAACTGATCTGGTTTTACGCCACATATGTCCAGAAAAGGTTCCACGTGTTGACACGTGTGGGGAACTGTTCCTCTGCAATGGGTGTGACGAACCAACGCTTTGACCCAGACTATCCCTAGACAAGCTGCTGTATCTGCATTACCCTAATTGTGACATGATAGATCATGTATGACCCTTTCTGATAGGATGATCTGTTTAATGTAACTACATCACGTACCAAACCACCCTTTAGATTGTTTGCGGCATTGACGCGTTACATAGGATTTAACACGTTCTTGCCTTTAGGTGGTAAAACGTGTTTTATGTTACTTTAGTTTCACGATTAAAGTGTCTACACATATGTTTCGATAGCCAGGGGTAATAATGATAGCTGCAAGGTTTATTCGCACCCTCCTGTAATATATAGCAGGCGTGTATGCATGCAATCAGTTCAATTCGGGAACAGTCATCAAATCAACCTTGCAAGGTACGTTGCTTATTTCTTATCCACTTAATTTACTCAGGAGTACATTGCCTTCCTATAGTCTATTATGTACAAGTATAAGGCATGTGAAGCAGCATATCATATGTTTGGTATCGATTTCAAGCACCTGCAAACTTATTCCGTCGTCAAAGCATCCTTGACGCTGAAAGGGCATAAGACCATTTAGTGGTTGATCACCATGTGCGATGATTCTGTTAGGATACACCCAGGCACAGGTTGTCAAGCGCCCCGTAGTCTTTGCAGCTGCATGTCTCTGTCCGTTCGAGAAACTTTCGAAACATAATTCTAAGCAGACTTTGAGTAGTATAGCTTGAAACTTATATTTTCCTGTTTCCTCTAGTTCCCTTTGGAAAAACAAAATGTACTTTAGATTTTATGAATCAGTTTTCAACGACGATTGTAACCCTTTCTAAAAGTGATTAGACATCAACCTTTGCACATAACCGATCGATCACTCACCAAAGGTTTGGGACCATTGTTTATGACACTATGCTTGCGTAAAAGACACAGTTCTGATTGACATCTAAACAGGAATCATCACCGGCTGAATTTATAATGACATTACCACTGTAACCTTTATGCAGAAAAAGTTACTAGTGACATTCTCAAATCATTGTTGCTAAATATTTTGAAATATTGGGTTACAGATGAAAGCCGTTGCACTGCTCCTGTTGTTTGTTGTGTTTGCAACCCTTCCAAGCGAGACCAGCGGATGGGGATGGTTTAAAAGAGTGGTTCGAAAGGTTAAAGACGGCGTAAGGAAGGTTGTAAACAAGATCAAGGATTTTGGAAACAGAGTCCGACACGGTAGGCGTTATGTTACTTTTCGGCAGCTGACCCATGATACTCACTCATGGACCAATATGACATGAATAAGGAATTACCTCCTAATGTTATTGAAATTAACTCGTACATTAATATCATCTCAAAATAATAATAATAATAATCATAAAAAATAATAAAAAAGAAACGCATAGGTGTATTTTCACAATTTTAATCTGCTAATGTTAAAGTGAGATAACACGTGAAGTGTTGTAGTTTCCAGAATCGAACACAAGTGCACCACTGGGTCAAAAACAGGTTTTCCGGCTCGAAGTTGAGCTTTTCGTACACTATTACGAAAATGGTTTGCGCCGACATTTTCCTCAAACCAGGCACTGCACTTGCAATTGCAGTTGCTGTGACAGTTCGATTCCGCAAACGAGATACTCGAATGTACCTTTGGCAAGCTTATCTGAATCTTTCCAAGGAGGAAAAAACGCTAGGGCTGGGTTCTAGTACCCGCGGGGTTATTTGTGTGAGGTCATTTCATGGTAGCTATATATATACGGCCTGATATTGCTGGCATATTGCAACAAGTGTCTGAACACACTCTAGTACATTGGTAGGTTTGAAATACCATGCACCATGTTTGACTCATGCACCTTAGAATAACTGAGTTCAATAGACAAAGGAAATGCATTTTTAACTTAGTAGAAATACACTACGTTTTTCTGTAGACGCTCACATCTGTTAAAATGGAATGTGAATTTGCTTGTATTGGCTTGCCCTTGTACCAACACACGGTTACATATTGATTTTGAGGTCTAGTCTTATCTTCAATCAGATTATTATCTGTGTTGTGTCTTTACTATCCCTGATCTGTTGAGTTTCAAAGTGTTTCACATTCAGGCATACTTGATTCTCTTAAGAGACATCTGAATGCCTCCATACGATTACTATCCTTAATAAACTGACCAAAAACCCAACTAAATTAATCGTAAACGAACCAAAGACAAGAATTTGCATTTAACATTTTCCTCCTAAAACTAGCATAACATAGCACGATGTACAGAAGCATTATGTAAGCATGTTTTTCTAAGATATACTTTCCGTGGACTTTAAAAACGTTTTACGTCTAAATGTACAAAATTGGTTCCTTAACAGTGGCAGGATTTGGGGGTTGAGTACCTGATTTGCATTTAGTATTATATACTTGGTAGCCATTGAATCCCTACTCGAGGGTTTCACCAAATACAACAAACGATTCATCCACCTGACACTCTGGACACGGTTGTTCAAAGTGACATTAAACCTACCTCAAGCTTACTTATGCAAGGCATTGTCTTGACTTCGATATTTCAGGCCGAGCTGTACATGCCGACATGACGGATGAGGAAATGGTAGAGGCGTTAGCCACCCGAGACATCAATGAGCTGTTTGAAGTTGAACAACTGAGTGGTAAGATAAACACTTATTCTATTGTTTTGTAAAAAAGAACGGTTTACGTGGAGGCCTGGAGTCATCCGTTACATGTCATCCTTGATTACAATAGTAACCTCTCTGGTCTTGTGGACAATTTGTCCGACCGGAATCGGAAGGTACGTGGTTCGCATTCCATGAGGGAGGTTCGGTAAAGTTATGTCCGCTGCAATTGGTGACCAACGTACGGCTGAATGCTGCCCTATTCCATGTGAACAAAGTAGGTATGTGTACCATAGGCAGGAAAATATCAATCAACACTTTATTTCCGTACAATATCGTACCCATGGATAACTGTGTAGCGTCATACAGGTGTTATAAGAAGCATTATTCAATCAGTGTTATCACACCTTATGATTCTTCATTGCGTAAGATTGTATATAATGCGTATGTGTATTATATTTTTGTAACTTAAATGCATAGCCTATGTTACAAATATTTACACAGCTGACCAGTATTCCAAACTATGTTTGGTTACATGTAATCAATCCGTTTCACAAACTGATAAGTAACCAAAAATTTGAAAGTTTGGTTAGAACATTTAATAAATGGCATCCCCATAGTTACTTGTTCCGCTCAACTCCTGATGTGGGTTTTTCGCATGTCGGTCAAAATATCTTCTGGAAAACAAAGAACAAATAAAGTATGGCAAAGAATGTGAACGTAATCTTTAGATGATATGATAGCGTTCACAAGTGACCAAATAGCCAATTCTCCTCTTCTGATTCACCCACTTGAGCTAGATATAAGAGGCACTAGTGTAATAACCCAAACATACCCTCAAGACTGTATTACTCGATCTTTTCCTGACGGGCAAATAATGATCCAACAGCACCGGCCTTTGGTATCTACATCCAAAACTTTGAGGTATAACTGATCTTTGTCTGTATTTGTCATACTTATAAATCATTACTTTGATCTCCACAGACGCAGACAAAGCCGAACTGAACAACATCCAGCGTGAAGCTCGAGATTTAATGGATCAACGTAAGTAAGACTTAATGGATCAACGTAAGTAAGATTCAAGGGATCAAAGGAAGCAAGACTTAATGGATAAAAGTCAGTAAGATTTAATTGATTCCAGTTAGTAAGATTTAATGGATTAAAGAAAGTAAGATTTAATGGATCAAAGTAAGTACGTTTTAATGGATTACAGTAAGTAAGAGTCAAAGGATTGAGCAAATAGTATCCTAATACATCCACAAGGAACTAGCCAAGTGTTTCTACTGGCGTGCTATTTTGTCCATCGTTCTTGAGCAAGAATGACTTCTTTATTGATACGCTATCTCGCAGAATTGTTGAAATTCTCAATGATAAATTCTGACAGCATCTCAGGTAGACATGTCCAACGTCGTATATGTTTGTGCAAGTGAAAGTAGGGCTATTTCATTTTTATTTTGATACCTTTCTATGTCATAAATCATTCTTATCCCTCACAAACTTACTGCCGTCAATTCCAGTCATTGCAAATTGGATTGCAATGATTACTATGTTATTATCAATTTCAACAATTCCGAAAACTGACGTACAAAAGAAAGTACACACCTGATGCTTTGGTAAAATGTTTTCTTGAAAACAGCGTAATATTTAGAAAAGTCACAAATCACAAACAGTGTGTACGTGTTGCAATAATCACACCATAGATATCGGACCCAATTGGAACATTGCTAGCAAAATATTTACGTCGCTTTAATAGTCTCAAAACAGCCGTGTGTACTTTCTTTTGTACATCAGTATATATTTGTTATATGTTAGTGTAGACTTCTGGGGAACCATTATTGTTGTTGGATAAAGAAGAAAACTGTTATTGATAACACTAATTATATATTATGCTAATTATAAATTATATATGCTAATAACATATTGTGCCTGCAAAATAATATCACATGTTTAAATGTCTGAACTTTTTGTGTTTACTTGGTGTTAAGAGGGGATATGACTACATGAATTATGTATGAAAAGAACGCCGACATTACAAAAGAAGCAAACTGTTTATCACAATTTCTATTTGAACTTTAAAACCAAAATATGAAGTGACTTATCTACAGACAGTGAGTGACAGTTTTACATACTTTCATGAAAATAATGGGGGGTTTATATCACAAAAAATGTTTTAATTGTCAGCACAAATAAATTAAATCGTTGAATGGTGTTTAATAAACACTAACCTCCTTTGTTACAGTGGATGCATTGGACGATTGAAAGGCCAGTTCCAACCCCAACATGTACATGACGAAATATGAAAAGCACAATGCTTTGGTTATTTCATGAATAAAACGTTCGAACAGTGGATGCGTCGTTTATTTCATTCTTGCTGGTGTTACTATTTATGAATATTTGTGCTCAGATTGACAAAGTTGAACCAAAGTAATCTAATCAAGAAACTTACAAATTTAAGTTTAAGTGATCTGATATCGTTCAATAATGGCCATATGGCCAGTTCCTTTCAACTACAGGGTTTGTTGTCGGCATGGGTACTGCAGATATGTACCCCAGCTACAAACTCAAAGTCAACTTACACCCTTGCAATTATCCAACCTAGGTACACCACGACACCTAACAACCTTGCAATTATCAAAACTCAGTACTCCACAACACCTAACAGCCTTGCAGTACTCCAAACCAGTACAACACAACACCTTACACCCTTGCAAACCGCCTCAGTGGTGTAGTGGTTAGAGCGTCCGCCAGGAGAGCGGAAGGTCGCGGGTTCGATCCCCGACCGGAGTCAGTATAATGTGTCTGTGTGGGGTATTCATGCTTCACTGCGGCATTGGATCTCAGTGGGCTAGCACTATAAAACCAGCTTAAGTCTGGGCTAATACAAGCAGCCGCACACACACATACACACGCATGCACGTCGTCATATGAGCGAAATATTCTCAAGCACGATGTAAAACCCAAATTCACCTCACCTCACCTCACCTTACACCCTTGCAATTATCAAACATCTGAACTCAACAACACCTTACACCCTTGCAATACTCCAACCACAGTAGTCCACAAAACCTTACACCCTCGCAATACTCCAAACTCAGTACATCACAAATCTTACAAACTTGCAAAACTACAACCTAAGTAGTCCACAACAGCTTACACTCTTGCAATACTCCAACGTCAGTACATCACAACACCTTACACCCTTGCAATACTCCAACCTCAGTACACCGCAACAACTTACACTCTTGCAATACTACAACCTCAGAAGTCCACAACACCTTACACTCTTGCAATACTCCAACCTCAGTACACCACATCTTACACCCTTGCAATGCTCTAAACTCAGTATACCACAACATCTTACACCCTCGCAATTCTACAACCTCAGTTCTCCACAACATCTTACACCCTTGCATAAATCCAACCTCAGTAGTCCACAGCACCTAACACTCTTGCAATACTCCAACCTCAGTACACCGCAACAACTTACACTCTTGCAATACTCCAACGTCAGTACATCACAACACCTTACACCCTTGCAATACTCAAACCTCAGTACACCGCAACAACTTACACTCTTGCAATACTACAACCTCAGAAGTGCACAACACCTTACACTCTTGCAATACTCCAACCTCAGTACACCACATCTTACACCCTTGCAATGCTCCAACCTCAGTTCTCCACAACATCTTACACCCTTGTATAAATCCAACCTCAGTAGTCCACAACACCTTACACCTTGGCAATACTCCAACCTGAGTACTCCACAACATCTTACACCCTTGCAATACTCCAACCACAGTATAGCACAACACCTTACACCCTTGCATAACTCCAACCTCAGTACTCCACAACATCTTACACCCTTGCAATACTCCAACCTCAGTATAGCACAACACCTTACACTCTTGCAATACTACAACCTCAGTACACCACAACATCTTACACTCTTGCAATACTACAACCTCAGTACACCACAACATCTTACACCCTTGCAATACTACAACCTCAGAACTCCACAACATCTTACACCCTTGCAATGCTCCAACCACAGTATAGCACAACACCTTACACCCTTGCATAACTCCAACCTCAGTACACCACAACACCTTACACTCTTGCAATACTACAACCTCAGTACACCACAACATCTTACACCCTTGCAATACTGTAACCTCAGTACACCACAACACGAACCTTACACCCTTGCAATACTCCAACCTCAGTACACCACAACACGCACATTACACCTTTGCAATGATCTAGCCTCAGTACACCACAACACTTTACAACCTTGCAATACTACAACCTCAGTAGTCCACAACACCTTATACTCTTGCAATACTCCAACCTCAGTATACCACAACACGCACATACACCCTTGCAATACTCGAACGTCAGTATACCGCAACACCTTACACCCTTGTAATACTCTAACCTCAGTACTCCACAACACCTTACACCTTTGCAATACTCCAATCTCAGTACACCACAACACGCACATTACAACCTCGCAATGATCTAACCTCAGTACACCACAACAACTTACACCCTTGCAATACTCCAACTTCAGTACACCACAACACGCACCTTACAACCTCACAATGATCTAACGTCAGTACACCACAACACCTTACACCCTTGCAATACTCCAACTTCAGTACACCACAACACGCACTTTACAACCTCGCAATGATCTAACCTCAGTACACCATAACATCTTACATCCTTGCAATACTCAAACCTCAGTGCACCACAACACTCACCTTACAATCTCGCAATGATCTAAACTCAGTACACCACAACACCTTACACCCTTGCAATACTCCAACCTAGGTAAACCACAACACCTTACACTCTTGCAATACTCCAACCGCAGTACACTGAAACATGTGACACCTTTGCAAAACTCCAACCTCAGCACACCACTAGACCTTACACCTTTGCAAAAATTCAACCTCAGAACACCACAACACTCACCTTACACACCTGCAATACTCCAACCTCAGTACACCACAGCGCTTTACACCCTTGCAATGCTCCAACCTAGGTACACCACCTCATCTTACACCCTTGCAATGCTCTCACCTAGGTACACCAATACATGACTTTACACCCTTGCAATGCTCTAACCGCTGTACTCCAAAACATCTTACACCCTTGCAATACTCCAACCTCAGTACACCACAACACGCACCTTACACCCCTGCAATGCTCCAACTCCAGTACACCACAACGCTTTACACCCTTGCAATGCTCCAACTTAGGTACACCACAACATCTTACATCCTTGTAATGCTCCAACCTCAGTACACCACAACATCTTACATCCTTGCAATACTCCAACCTTAGTACACCAACAACCTTTACCCATGCAATACTCCACCTTATCAGAACACCTTTTACGCTCTTGTAATACTCCAACCTCAGTACACCACAACACCTTACACCCTTGCAATGATCTAACCTCAGTACACCACAACATCTTACAACCTTGCAATACTCCAACCCAGTACACCACAGCACTTTACACCCCTGCAATGTTCCAAACCTAGGTACACTACAACATCTTACACCCTTGCAATACTCCAACCACAGTACATCACAACACCTATTACACCCTTGCAATACTGTAACCTCAGTACAACACAACGCCTTACACTCTTTTCAATACTCCAACGTCAGTACACCACAACGCTTTTACACCCTTGTAATGCTCCAACCTAGGTACAATTCACAACATCTTACACCCTTTGCAATACTCCAACCTAGGTAAACCACAACACCTTACACTCTTGCAATACTCCAACTGCAGTACACTGAAACATGTGGACACCTTTGCAAACTCCAACCTCAGTACACCACTAGACCTTACACCTTGCAAACATTCAACCTCAGAACACTACAACACGCACCTTACACACCTGCAATGCTCTCCAACCTCCATACACCACAGCAGCTTTACACCCTTGCAATGCTCCAACCTAGGTACACCACTTCCACACTTTACACCCTTGCAATGCTCCTCACCTAGGTACACCACATGACTTTACACTCCTTTGCAATGCTCTAACTGCTGTACTCCAAAACATCTTACACCCTTGCAATACTCCAACTTCAGTACACCACAACACGCACCTTACACCCCTGCAATGCTCCAACTCAGTACACACCACAACGCTTTACACCCTTTGCAATGCTCCAACCTAGGTACACCACAACATCTTACATCCTTGTAATGCTCCAACCTCAGTACACCACAACCATTTTACATCCTTGCAATGCTCCAACCTTAGTACACCACAACACTTTACACCCTTGCAATGCTCCAACCTCAGTACATCAGAACACCTTACACTCTTGTAAATACTCAACCTCAGTACACCACAACACCTTACACCCTTGCAATGATCTAACCTCAGTACACCACAACATCTTACAACCTTTGCAATACTTCCAACCCAGTACACCACAGCACTTTTACACCTTGCAATGTTCCAACTCTGGGTGCCACCACAACATCTTACACCCTCCAACCACAGTACACCACAACATCTTACACCCTTGCAATACTCAACCCAGTACACCACAACACGCTTTACAACCTCGCAATGATCCTCTCAGTACACCACAACACCTTACACCTTGCAATACTCCAACCTGGGTAAACCACAACACTTACACTCTTGCACATACTCCAACTGCGGTACACTGAACATAGTGACACCTTTTGCAAAACTCCAACCTCAGCACACACCACTAGACCTTACACCTTTGCAAAAATTCAACCTCAGAACACCACAACACTCACCTTACACACCTGCAATACTCCAACCTCAGTACACCACAGCGTGCTCCAACCTTACACCACACCATCTTACACCCTTGCAATGCTCTCACCTAGGTACACCACATGACTTACACCCTTTTGCAATGCTCTAACCGCTGTACTCCAAAACATCTTACACCCTTGCAATACTCCAACCTCAGTACACCCACAACACGCACCTTACACCCCTGCAATGCTCCAACTCAGTACACCACAACGCTTTTACACCCCTTGCAATGCTCCAACCTAGGGTACACCACAACATCTTACATCCTTGCAATGCTCCAACCTCAGTACACCACAACATCTTACATCCTTGCAATACTCCAACCTTAGTACACCACAACACTTTACACCCTTGCAATACTCCAACCTCAGTACATCAGAACACCTTACACTCTTGTAATACTCCAACCTCAGTACACCACAACACCTTACACCCTTGCAATGATCTAACCTCAGTACACCACAACATCTTACAACCTTGCAATACTCCAACCCAGTACACCACAGCACTTTACACCCTTGCAATGTTCCAACCTAGGTACACCACAACATCTTACACCCTTGCAATACTCCAACCACAGTACATCACAACACCTTACACCCTTGCAATACTGTAACCTCAGTACAACACAACGCCTTACACTCTTTCAATACTCCAACGTCAGTACACCACAACGCTTTACACCCTTGCAATGCTCCAACCTAGGTACACCACAACATCTTACACCCTTGCAATACTCCAACCTAGGTAAACCACAACACCTTACACTCTTGCAATACTCCAACCGCAGTACACTGAAACATGTGACACCTTTGCAAAACTCCAACCTCAGTACACCACTAGACCTTACACCTTTGCAAACATTCAACCTCAGAACACTACAACACTCACCTTACACACCTGCAATACTCCAACCTCAGTACACCACAGCGCTTTACACCCTTGCAATGCTCCAACCTAGGTACACCACCTTATCTTACACCCTTGCAATGCTCTCACCTAGGTACACCACATGACTTTACACCCTTGCAATGCTCTAACCGCTGTACTCCAAAACATCTTACACCCTTGCAATACTCCAACCTCAGTACACCACAACACGCACCTTACACCCCTGCAATGCTCCAACTCCAGTACACCACAACGCTTTACACCCTTGCAATGCTCCAACCTAGGTACACCACAACATCTTAAATCCTTGCAATGCTCCAACCTCAGTACACCACAACATCTTACATCCTTGCAATACTCCAACCTTAGTACACCACAACACTTTACACCCTTGCAATACTCCAACCTCAGTACATCAGAACACCTTACACTCTTGTAATACTCCAACCTCAGTACACCACAACACCTTACACCCTTGCAATGATCTAACCTCAGTACACCACAACATCTTACAACCTTGCAATACTCCAACCCAGTACACCACAGCACTTTACACCCTTGCAATGTTCCAACCTAGGTACACCACAACATCTTACACCCTTGCAATACTCCAACCACAGTACACCACAACATCTTACACCCTTGCAATACTCCAACCCAGTACACCACAACGCTTTACACCCTTGCAATGCTCCAACCTAGGTACACCACAACATCTTACACCCTTACAATGCTCCAACCTCAGTACACCACAACGCGCACCTCACACCCTTGCAATACTACAACCTAGGTACACCACAACATCTTACACCCTTGCAATTATCAAACCTCAGTACACCACAATATCTTATACCCTTGCAATACTCTACCCGCAGTACTCAACAACATCTTACATCCTTCCAATAATCCAACCTCAGTACTCCACAACACATTTCACCCTTGCAATACTCCAACCTCAGTACTCCACAACACCTTGCACCCTTCCAATAATCCAACCTCAGTGCATCACAACACCTTACACCCTTTCAATACTCTAACCTCAGTACATCACAACACCTTACACCCTTGCCGTGCTCCAACCTCAGTACATCACAACACCTTACACCCTTGCAATACTCTAACCTCAGTACTCCACAACACCTTACACTGTTGCAATACTCCAACCTCACTATTCCGCAACACCTTACACCCTTGTAATACTCTAACAGCAGTACTCCACAACACCTTACACCCTTCCAATAATCCAACCTTGGTACACCACAATACCTTACACCCTTGCAATGCTCCAACCTCAGTATACCACAACACCTTACACCCTTACAATACTCCAAACCAGTACAACACAACACCATACACCCTTGCAATTATGGAACCTGAGTACACCACAACACCTTACACCCTTGCAATCATTCTGTTGTTATAACTACCGAAATCAAGGTTAATGAAATAAGATATTTTCTTTATTCCTCTCAAATAGTAACATCATCTTCGTTGTAACAGTATCATCGTTGTTGTTTGTTTGTTTCACCGTGAGTTCTTTTACGACTGATTTCTGGTAAACCTCTGCATAAGTTTCCACTTTGGAGTCAGCACGCAACAAATGGCACATACAGTGGAACGGTTTAATGTGAAACCCGTTTGTCCTTAAACTCTTTGTCTGGTCTGTTTGATACGTAAGTACGTACCAAAGGCTTTTATTGTTTTAACATATACTGAACAACAAAAGAAACGCCACCTTTCAAAACCAAATGCAAATTTCTTTCTTACAAGGTGGTGTTTTAATTATGATTGTACCGTTTTGTTAACATGTTTTTCAATCCAAATTGACAGTTATTACCAACATCAGTGTTTTTCCTGATGAAAAAGCATATGAGCAAACACACCTAAAAAGGCCGACTTGGTAAATGGTTCCGTATGACATTCATGATAATGAAAATGCACGTGCATATCGTGACCTACCCTATCAATGAAAGCGTGACCCAAAACTCTATTGAAATGATTTTTTGTTTTGACACAATCGCCATGCCACGACTTACGAGAGATTAGAGGAACCAAGCCTTGGGACGATTACAAGTTGTTCAGACTGCTCGGAGGGTAGCCAATCATTTTGCTGTTCATGTTAGGACAATCTACCGACTGACTGCAGGAGCGGTATCAGTCCACTAACAACATTCGAGACCGTCCACGCAGTGGGCGACCTTCAGTAACATCACAACGTCAAGACCGACAGATTGTGCACAACCATCTGCAGGATCGCTTCACCAGAGCAACGGATACAGCACGCCAGACCATTGGGATCCCCAACAGACCCATTAGTGCCGATACAGTGCGTCGACGTTTGCGCGGAAGAAACCTCTGCTGTCACAGACCATGTCGTGGTCCTGTCCTCATTTCTCGTCACCGCCCAAACCGACTGCAATGGACAACTCAGCATCGAAATTGGCGTTATCGACAATGGAGAAGTGTGTTTCTTTCTGAAGAAAGATTGTGTTTCGACAGCCGATGGCAGAGTGAGAGTATGGTGAAAGCGTGGGAAACGGTTTTCCAGTGAGTGTATTGTTGGTAGAGATTCGTGGGTTGGTCCAAGCATCATGGTGTGGGATGAAATCGGTCTGAACCCGAGAGATTGCCCCGTGGTGTTCCAGAATCTCGGTTCAGGACGAGGCAATGGCCATAAGACCCCACGTTGTACCACATTTTGGACGTCACAGAAATCACACCTTCCAACAAGACAACGCTCGTGCCCACACTGCCAGGGTAACATTGGACTTCCTACGACAACATGACATCCAAACCCTACAATGGCCTGCACTCAGTCCGGATTTAAGTCCACTAGAACACCTTGGGGACGAGCTCGAGATTCAAAGAAGACTGAATGACCTCCAACCAAGGCTGACAACTGCGGCTGGACTCGATCAGGCATTTCTCAGGGTATGGACACAAGAGCCTATGGCTTTCGTCAACCGGCTAATTCATTCCATGTACAACTCGTCGTCGATGCCGATGGAAGCCACACACGGTACTGACTTTCATGTATCTTAATGGTACCAGTATTTGGCGATTTTCTTTGTGTGAACTCAAAATGTGATTCCCGAAAATGTGTTAACCAATAATTGTCAAGTTTGAATTCAACCCCCCGGTTTTATTGCTAATTAGAGCGAATTATAGTGTGTGATTTAAGAAACCTCTATCGGTGTGACGTTTCTTATTTTTCTATCGGTGTGACGTTCAGTATAGATTAATCGAACTTGTTACTTGTGATTTCAGGTGGCATATATAAAACGCGATACTGTTTGGATTCAAAAGGTTCCACTGCAATATATATATATATATATACTCGGTATTCTCATCACTTTCTTTATATATATATATATATATATATATATATATATATATATATATCCTTATAAAATAATTCCATATTACTCGAATGATTTCGTTTTGTGAATATAATAACGGCTAGAGAAACTATACTGACAAGGATATATTATGTGGTCTGAGTTGTTTCTGTTTGTCAGTTTTGTGATATTTGGTTAGCTTGTCTGACGAGAGAAATATTGTTTGGGATAGCGGGATGCAAAATTTTCCAAGTCTAAGGCAAACATGTTGACTACCGCAGTATTCCAGTTGTATCGCGGCGGTTTTGTAAAGACTCGAGGACAAGACAAATCAGAGATCGTTGTAATGTTTGAATCATAAAGGTAGATTCTACTGCATCTTCATTGACTTCTCCAAGGCGTTTGATAGGATTGATCATGAAGTTGTATTGAACAGTTTGAGGAAGTGGGTCTCAAGGGGAATTTTATCAAAACTCCATGTACTCTAATCTATCAGCATGTGTGAAATTGTCAACCCGTTTATCTGAATATTTTAAAAGCAACATTGGATCCCGTCAGGGATGTGTCGAGAGTCCAAATTTGTTCGTAATTTACTTAAATGAACTCATATATGAACTTGAACAGATATGTGGCGACGGAATATTGTGATGCACACATTCGAATACATTGATACGATATCAGTGAACGTGATTGACCACTCAATCCATCAAGTCGCCTATTAACTGATCTGGTTTTACGCCACATATGTCCAGACAAAGTTCCACGTGTTGACACGTGTGGGGAACTGTTCCTCTGCAATGGGTGTGACGAACAAACGCTTTGATCCAGACTATCCCTAGACAAGCTGCTGTATCTGTATTACCCTAATTGTGACGTGATAGATCATGTATGACCCTTTCTGATAGGATGATCTGTTTAATGTAACTACCACATGTACCAAAGCACCCTTTAGATTGTTTGCGGCATTGACGCGTTACATAGGATTTAACACGTTCTTGCCTTTAGGTGGTAAAACGTGTTTTATGTTACTTTAGTTTCACGATTAAAGTGTCTACACATATGTTTCGATAGCCAGGGGTAATAATGATAGCTGCAAGGTTTATTCGCACCCTCCTGTAATATATAGCAGGCGTGTATGCATGCAATCAGTTCAATTCGGGAACAGTCATCAAACAACCTAGCAAGGTACGTTGCCTATTTCTTATCCACTTAATTTACTCAGGGATACATTGCCTTCCTATAGTCTATTAGCTGCATGCCTCTGTCCATTCGAGAAACTTTCGAAACATATTTCTAAGCAGACTTTGAGTAGCATAGCTTGAAACTTATGTTTTCCTGTTTCCACTAGTTCCCTTTGGAAAAACAAAATGTACTTTAGATTTTATGAATCAGTTTTCAACGACGATTGTAACCCTTTCTAAAAGTGATTAGACATCAACCTTTGCACATAACCTATCGATCACCCACCAAAGGTTTGGGACCATTGTTTATGACATTATGCTTGCGTAAAAGACACAGTTCTGATTGACATCTAAACAGGAATCATCACCGGCAGAATTTATGATGACATTACCACTGTAACCTTTATGCAGAAAAAGTTTCTAGTGACTTTCTGAAATCATTGTTGCTACATAGTTTGAAATATTGGGTTACAGATGAAAGCCGTTGCACTGCTCCTGTTGTTTGTTGTGTTTGCAACCCTTCCAAGCGAGACCAGCGGATGGGGATGGTTTAAAAGAGTGGTTCGAAAGGTTAAAGACGGCGTAAGGAAGGTTGTAAACAAGATCAAGGATTTTGGAAACAGAATCCGACACGGTAGGCGTTATGTTACTTTTCGGCAGCTGACCCATGATACTCACTCATGGACCAATATGACATGAATAAGGAATTACCTCCTAATGTTATTGAAATTAACTCGTACATTAATATCATCTCAAAATAATAATAATAATAATCATAAAAAATAATTAAAAAAGAAACGCATAGGTGTATTTTCACAATTTTAATCTGCTAATGTTAAAGTGAGATAACACGTGAAGTGTTGTAGTTTCCAGAATCAAACACAAGTGCACCACTGGGTCAAAATAGGTTTTCCGGCTCGAAGTTGAGCTTTTCGTACACGATTACGAAAATGGTTTGCGCCGACATTTTCTTCAAACCAGGCACTGCACTTGCAATTGCAGTTGCTGTGACAGTTCGATTCCGCAAACGAGATACTCGAATGTACCTTTGGCAAGCTTATCTGAATCTTTCCAAGGAGGAAAAAACGCTAGGGCTGGGTTCTAGTACCCGCGGGGTTATTTGTGTGAAGTCATTTCATGGTAGCTATCCGGCCTGATATTGCTGGCATATTGCAACAAGTGTCTGAACACACTCTTTATAAAAGCCCTGTAGTACATTGGTAGGTTTGGAATACCATGCACCATGTTTGACTCATGCACCTTAGAATAACTGAGTTCAATAGACAAAGGAAATGCATTTTTAACGTTTTTCTGTAAACGCTCACATCTGTTAACATGGAATGTGAATTTGCTTGTATTGGCTTGCCCTTGTACCGACACACGGTTACATATTGATTTGGAGGTCTAGTCTTATCTTCAATCAGATTATTATCTGTGTTGTGTCTTTACTATCCCTGATCTGTTGAGTTTCAAAGTGTTTCACATTCAGGCATACTTGATTCTCTTAAGAGACATCTGAATGCCTCCATACGATTACTATCCTTAATAAACTGACCCAAAACCCAACTAAATTAATCGTAAACGAACCAAAGACAAGAATTTGCGTTTGACATTTTCCTCCTAAAACTAGCATAACATAACACGATGTACAGAAGCATTATGTAAGCATTTGTTTCTAAGATATACTTTCCGTGGACTTTAAAAACGTTTTACGTCTAAATGTACAAAATTGGTTCCTTAACAGTGGCAAGATTTGGGGGTTGAGTACCTGATTTGCATTTAGTATTATATACTTGGTAGCCATTGAATCCGTACTCGTGGGTTTCACCAAATACAATAAACGATTCATCCACCTGGACACGGTTGTTAAAGTGACATTAAACCTAGCTCACGCTTACTTATGCGAGGTGCTGTATTGACTTCGATATTTCAGGCCGAGCTGTACATGCCGACATGACGGATGAGGAAATGGTAGAGGCGTTAGCCACCCGAGACATCAATGAGCTGTTTGAAGTTGAACAACTGAGTGGTAAGATAAAAACGTATTCTATTGTTTTGTAAAAAAGAACGGTTTACGTGGAGGCCTGGAGTCATCCGTTACATGTCATCCTTGATTACAATAGTAACCTCTCTGGTCTTGTGGACAATTTGTCCACTTAACTTAAATGCATAGCCTATGTTACAAATATTTACACAGCTGACCAGTATTCCAAACTATGTTTGGTTACATGTAATCAAATCGTTGTTTCACAAACTGATAAGTAACCAAAAATTAGAAATTTGGTTTAGAACATTTAGTAAATGGCATCCCCATAGTTACTTGTTCCGCTCAACTCCTGATGTGGGTCTTTCGCATGTCAATCAGAATATCTTCTGGAAAACAAAGAACAAATAAAGTATGGCAAAGAATGTGAACGTAAACTTTAGATGACACATGATAGCGTTCACAAGTGACCAAATAGCCAATTCCCATCTACTGATTCACCCACTTTGGCTGGATATAAGAGGCACTAGTGTAATAACCCAAACATACCCTCAAGACTGTATAACTCGATCTTTTCCTGACGGGCAAAGAATGATCCAACAGCACCGACCTTTGGTATCTACATCCAAACCTTTGAGGTATAACTGATCTTTGTCTGTATTTGTCATACTTATAAATCATCACTTTGATCTCCACAGACGCAGACAAAGCCGAACTGAACAACATCCAGCGTGAAGCTCGAGATTTAATGGATCAACGTAAGTAAGATTTAATTGATTAAAGTATGTAAGATTTAATGGATCAACGTAAGTAAGACTTAATGGATTAAGCAAATAGTATTCTAATGCATCCACAAGGAACTGGCCTGGTGTTAGTACTGGTGTGCTGTTCTTGTCCTTCATCACGATCGGTCCATCGTTCTTGAGCAAGAATGACTTCTTTATTGATCTCTCAGAATTGTCGAAATTCTCAATGATAAATTATGACAGCGTCTCAGGTAAACATGTGCAACGTCGTATATTTTGTGTATGTGAAAGTAGTGCTATGCCATTTTTATTTGGATACCTTTCTATGTCATAAAACATTCTTATCCTTCACAAACTGACTGCCGTCAATTCCTGTCATTTCAAATTGGATTGCAACGATTACTATGTTATTATCAATTTCAACAATATCTAAAACTGACGTACAAAAGAAAGTACACACCTGATGCTTCGGTAAAATGTTTTCCTGAAAACAGCGTAATATTAAGAAAAGTCACAAATCACAAACAGTGTGTACGTGTTGCAATAATCACACCATAGATATCGTACCCAATTGGAACATTGCTAGCAGCATATTTACGTCGCTTTAATAGTCTCAAAACACCCGTGTAAACTTTCTTTTGTACATCAGTATATATTTGTTATTTGTTAGTGTAGACTTGTGGGGAACCATTATTGTTGGATAAAGAAGAAAACTGTTATTGATAACACTAATTATATATTATGCTAATTATAAATTATATATGCTAATAAAATATTGTGCCTGCAAAATAATATCACATGTTTAAATGTCTGAACTTTTTGTTTTTACTTGGAGTTAAGAGGGGATATCACTACATGAATTATGTATGAAAAGAAGGCCGACATCACAAAAGAAGCAAATTGTTTATCACAATTTCTATTTGAACTTTAAAAACAAAATATGAAGTGACTTATCTGCAGACCAAGTACGCTTCCGTCAGTGACAGTTTTACATACTTTCATGAAAATAGTAGACGGTTTACAGAATGTGCCCGTCATCAGGTGGTTGAATACATTAACATTTTGTTCCTGAAGTATATCACAAAAAATGTTTTAATTATCAACACAAATAAATTACACCTTTATTAAATCGTTTAATGGTGTTTAATAAACACTAACCTCTTTTGTTACAGTGGATGCATTGGACGACTGAAAGGCCAGCTTCAACACCAACATGTACATGACGAAATATGAAAAGCACAATGGTTTTGTTATTTCATGAATAAAACGTTCGAACAGTATATGCGTATATTCTTGCTGGTGTTGTGTTGTTATTTATGAATATTTGTGCTCAGATTGACAAAGTTAAAACCAAAGTAATCTAATGAAATACACAATGACATTTTAGAAAGTGGTCAAATGTAACATATGTTCTATTTGGGATTACACTTTCTCAGTAAAATAAAAAATTAAAAATAAAGAAAACAAAAAGTACACTAGAATCTGTACTTTACTGAAAAAGTGTAATCCTCATAAAACATATGTTACAAAGTAATCTAATAATAATAAAATATTAAATACAGTTTATAGCGCCTATTCCAAAGGCGCTTAGGCGAAGGCTATGTTGAACAAGTGGGTTTACAGTTGTCGTTTAAACTGGTCGAGATTGGAGAACGATCTATCCCCATAGAGTCTTTTCCTGGTCATAGGAACATCAAGTGCTGTTGATGATCTTGACCTTTCCTTGGAGTGTAGATGGATATGAGTTCACTGATGTACTCAGGAGCTAACGATTTGAAGACAAACACCAGGATATTGAACTGTATAGGCTGCCTCACTAGTAGCCAATGGAGGTCTTGTAAGAGTGAGAGATGTGATATCGACATCTGATGTTGGTGATTACTCTGGCAGCACTGTTGTGCACTCTCTGTAGTCTGTAGAGTGAGTGTTCCCATGCCCCATACAACAGTCTCTGCGGGATGTGACAAACGCATTAACTAGAGTCTTCACTTCATCCGTGCCAATATGCTTCTTGATCAAGCTGATGTTTCTTATATGGTAACAGCATGACCTGCATTCGGCATCGATATATCGCTCAGATGAGAAGGATGACACCTAGATTCCTTGCTTGAGAACTGGGGACAACATTACAGTCACCAAGTTTCCGTGGTGGAACTGAAAGTTTGAGAGCAAAGATTTAGATCCAAAGATAATCAGTTCTGTCTTGTCGGCGTTGAGTTGGAGAAAGTGCGTGGACATCCAGTACTGGATCTCCTTAACGCAATCAACGAGGATCTAATCAAGTAACTTAAGAATTTAAGTTTCAGTTATCTGATATCGTTCACAAATGGCCAAATGACCAATTCCCTTCGTTGTCGGTATGGGTACTACAGCTATGTACCCAGGTACAAAGTCTAAGTCAGTTATCCAACCTAGGTACATCACAACACCTTACACCCATGCAATACTCCAGCGTCAGTACACCACTACACCTTACACCCATGCCATATTCCACCCTAGGTACATCACAACACCTTACACCATTGCAATACTTTAACCTCACTATTCCACAACACCGTTCACACTTTCAATCACTCTGTTGTTATAAATACCGAAATCAACGTTAGTGAAATAAGATCAGACTGATATTTTCTTCGTTCCTCTCAATAGTAGCATCATCTAACACAACCAGTGCTCAATGAAACGAACACCACGATAAACAAATCCTTGTTTGACCGCCATCTGCGTCACCTAATACACCTGTTTGCTACTGTTAAGAGTAATTAAGGGGGCGATTCAGCCAATGACGGTTGACCTAAATATGCCCACAAACGTATGCAAACATAATAAGCGCATCACAGAGCTATGGCAGTCACGGCATATAACAGGTAAACGGAAACACGAGAGCATCCCTATACAATGCAACATAAATCTGCCAAATGCATTGATTACAACATATACAACCTTTGTATGATAATAACAATAGCAATTAAACTGAGGGTCAAAAGTAGTTTTACCGTTTAAAGAAATGAAGTAACCGACTGCCAAACACATCGTCGTCGTCAAACATGCTCTATGCTGAAAGTGATACAAGTCCACGGCAAGTCCATAGAAAATGCAAAAGTGAAATACAAATGTCGCAATGCAGCCGCAACTACACGTGCAATCATGGCATGAAACTGATACAAACGGCATGTGCGACACTCGACAACGATATAAAGACACCCCGATGAAATGTCAAGCAGCCGGCCAACGCGACCAAGACCCGTGTGTGATACAGTTAGAAGTCGCCGCTTTCCACGTTGCAACAACTTTCGCTGTTGCAGCAGAAAACTTGAAGCAACGGAACAGACAGACAGGTCAGACATCAGACAGGCACGGTAGACATCAGGCAAACCGGACAAACATCAGGCAAACCTTGCAGACATCAGGCAAACCTTGCAGACATCAGACAAAGCGGACAGACATCAGACAAACCTTGCAGACATCAGACAGACACCAGACAAACCTTGCAGACATCAGACAAACCTTGCAGACATCAGACAAACCGGACAGACATCAGACAAACCTTGCAGACATCAGGCAAACCGGACAGACATCAGACAAACCTTGCAGACATCAGAAAAACCTTGCAGACATCAGGCAAACCTTGCAGACATCAGACAAACCGGACAGACATCAGGCAAACCTTGAAGACATCAGACAAACATTGAAGACATCAGGCAAACCTTACAGACATCAGACAAACCTTGCAGACATCAGACAAACCTTGCAGACATCAGACAAACCTTGCAGACATCAGACCTTGCAGACATCAGGCAAACCGGACAGACATCAGACAAACCTTGCAGACATCAGACAAACCGGACAGACATCAGGCAAACCTTGCAGACATCAGACAAACCTTGCAGACATCAGACAAACCTTGCAGACATCAGACAAACCGGACAGACATCAGACAAACCTTGCAGACATCAGGCAAACCTTGCAGACATCAGACAAACCTTGCAGACATCAGACAAACCTTGCAGACATCAGACAAACCGGACAGACATCAGGCAAACCTTGCAGACATCAGACAAACCTTGCAGACATCAAAGACAAACCTTGCAGACATCAGACAAACCTTGCAGACATCAGACAAACCGAGTAGACATCAGACAAACCGGACAGACATCAGGCAAACCTTGCAGGCATCAGACAAACCTTGCAGACATCAGACAAACCTTGCAGACATCAGACAAACCTTGCAGACATCAGGCAAACCGGACAGACATCAGGCAAACCTTGCAGACATCAGGCAAACCTTGCAGACATCAGACAAACCTTGCAGACATCAGACAAACCTTGCAGACATCAGACAAACCGGTAGACATCAGACAAACCGGACAGACATCAGGCAAACCTTGCAGACATCAGACAAACCTTGCAGACATCAGACAAACCTTGCAGACATCAGACAAACCTTGCAGACATCAGACAAACCGAGTAGACACCATGCAGACCAGGAATCGGGAGACACAGGGTAACTACGCGTAATAAAGACTAGCTCCTCAGATATGTCCCCACCAACACACCCGTGGTATGTTCTTAAGTGACCAGATCCTCCAGTGAAGCGGCAAGAACTAATCCAGGCCATTCCAGAAGAATGCGACGTATCCCTCGTGCCATCATCAGACGACTGACGTCCACTGTTCGCCGGAGAGAATGTTTGCGTGTTTTGTAGCAGGTGTTGGTCACATTCAGCTATAATGTGACGTTTCATTATGGACAACATGTGTTTCCATCGTCCATTACATTGAATGTTTGTATTTGCATCCTACCTCAATTCAGGCAAACGTCTTGCCAATATCGGTAACTGAATCATAATTTCATTGGGATTCTTTAATTATACATTAACTTTATACATTTATCTTTGGTATTCTTAAACTGGATTGGTGTGAAACTATAGTAACTTTCCTTTTGCACGTCAGTTTTTATGAAGGGTTGACTTAAAATCAGTGATGACACCAGATGTTCACGAAATGGTAAACATGTATGGCTCCACTGGTTGAGCCTACCCCTCAAGTAACGGACATAAGTTCTAGTGAGTACGGAGGTACTAAAACACAGTATTACCCTTTGCATGGTGGCGATATGGTTGAGGTTTGACATAGTTTTTAATGTGAATGGACCGGCGCTACCATGCTAACGTGAGGGTTCATGCCACTTAGTGGGATTATATGTCGGTCTTAGATTGAGTAACTGTGTTTAGTTATTGCCTCCAACAATCCTATCAGGACGCCAAACTTTACAATTGACTAAAAGGACTCATGAATAATAGCATGAATGTGTTCATCAATGACCAACTGTACGGGACATTCTTACCATACTTGCAAAATATTACTTCATGGCTGATTTTCAGTATTTCTGGTTACCAATATTTAGTGTTCAATACGTTTTCCCTGGAATCTGTTCTATGATATAATCGAGACTGATTATTCTCTTGGGTTGATGTTTGATATATACACATGGAGAACATTATCGCACCACCACATATTGTTCATAGTATCGACATGTTAATATTAACCATGGAAAAGAGGTTATCCAAACCTCAATGTAATTTACTATCTTGATTAACTAATGAAATGGCGAATCTAAACGCAAAAAGAACGAAAAAATGTAGTTTATTCAGAGATGCAAAGATGGCAAACAGAAGACCCATTCTGTAGTGCTGAGGGTTAGCTACTTGACTGCAGTGTTTGAACACATACACATAGAGACGTAGCTGCAGGATAAAATACGTGTATATCACTGATGATTTATCGATGTAGTTGTCAGCCATAACAGGAACGGAGTATCAGCGCCAGAATCACCACGACATAGACACATACCATGACGAGTATACCAAAGGGAATATTTGTGCTGATTGACCTGCCAGATTCAGTATTCTGTGGTGAAATCTGGAAGATCCATATGATGGCTCTCATGGGGAATGTTCTCTTATGGTCAGGTGGATTCGGCAGCCAACTTAAGCACCTCACACCAGACATTACGGAACTGAACGCTGAGGAAACGGAAACTAAACATCATGATGTCGTGTTGACAAAGGCATCGCCGGTAGATAATATGAGGCATAACAGTAACAAAGTCCATGTGGTGACTATGAAGATCGATATTCTCCGTGTGTTATTGCAACGATTCGAACCCGAGTCTTAGGCGTGACGAGTGAACGCTTTAACCATTAGGCTACCCCACCGCCCCCATAACAGTAACAAAGTCCATGTGATGACTATGAAGATCGATATTCTCCGTGTGTTAT